GCAGGGTTTATATTTTCAAATCGAGACTCCAAATTTCAGCATCAGCCGTTTTCAGCAGGATAGATTAGTGAAGCAATGACACAATTAGAAGGCTTAGAAAGCCTTCTCCGTTCTAAAAAATTAGAAGCAATAGAAAAGGAAAATACCAGAAAACACAGACGGAGTCGTAGCAGAAGTCGCACACATTCGCCAAAACGTAGAAGGTCAAGATCATATAGTCCATATAGTAATAGGAGACGAAATAGAAGTAGAAGTTATAGCCCTGCACGTGGAAGGGGTAGAACTAGAGATCGAGACAGAGACAGGGACAGGTCCAGAGATAGAACTAGAGATTCGAGTAGAGATCCGTATCGTGACCGTAACGGACGGGACAAAAGGGAAGATTTAGACGAGAAACCCATACTATATAAAATATATAATGGAAAAGTGACAAAATTAAAAGACTTCGGTGCGTTTGTTTGTCTAGAAGGCGTCAAAGGAAGAGTAGAAGGTATGTTATCTTGATGACCTATTAATATTATGTTTTCATTTTTCTTTAATTATTCCATAGTCTAAATTTATTATTAGGCATGATTCACGTAAGCATGCTCGTTACTGGTAGAAGGGTTTCGCATCCATCAGAAGTTGTATCGCGAAATGATAGAGTAAAGGTTAAAATAATGTCCGTGGCCGCGTCCAGAATAAGTTTATCTATGAAAGATGTTGACCAAGAAACGGGAAAGGATTTAACACCTCATTTACGCATAAAAACTGAAGAAGTATGTACACACATGATTACTTCATCTAAAAATATTTATACTAATTTTTCAACAATTAACTACAGGAACTCTTGGCCGAGATCTCTCGTAATCCTGACCGTCCGTTCTCTTTTGGAAAGGTACCAGTGATTGAAGACAACGAAGGACCGAACAGCCTTAAACGACTCTCGTCACCAGAACGTTGGGAGCTTAAACAACTCATAGCTTCAGGTGTCCTAAGTGCATCAGAATTGTCAAATTATAACGAAGATCAAGGACAAGGATTTTTTGAGACTATGGAAACAGAAGAAGAATTAGATATTGAAATTCGAGAGGATGAACCACCATTTTTAAGGGGGCAAACTAAGCATACGTTGCAATTGAGTCCAATTAAAGTAGTCAAAGCCCCAGATGGAACCCTAAATCGTGCCGCCATTGCAGGCGCATCATTAGCGAAGGAACGAAGAGAATTACGGTAAGAGCTTGATCTAATATCTGTTCATATATCGTCAGTTTCTGATCGACTGTTCATGAGGTCAATACAAAGTAAAAAAAAAAATCAAATAACCGTATATTAAAGTTTATATGGTTTGTACTAGAATTAGTTCTACAAAAAGAGATTGTCTAAAGCCTTTTAGTATTTTATGCATGCTACGTAATTTTAATGTACAAATCGATTAGTAATTAATTTTAAAAACTATCCGGCTTTAGACTATTTCAAAAAAAAAAAAAAAGAATTAAATATCCTAAAAGCTGCATTTAATTGATCATAACGCACGTAGTTGTTAGTTGGTTGATCAATCAATTAAAATTGAGAAAAATGTGATACTTATTGGAAACCAAAAATTTTTACAACAATCTAATTGTCGATCAGAAACGGCAATATTTCTCTATTAAATCCATCATATAAATTAATTGCGATTTTACAATATTTTTTAGTACGCAACAAGCGAATGCAGAATTAGATTCAGTCCCAAAAGATATAAACATCCCTTGGTTAGATCCAATGCCTGAACCAGGTGAACGTCATTTTGCTCAAGACTTAAGAGGAATTGCTGCTGGTCGCAAGGCTGGGGAAGTACCTGAATGGAAACGAGAGACCTTTAACAAAGCGACAAGTTTTGGCAAAGTCACGTCACTATCCATTCAAGAACAACGACAAAGTTTGCCTATATATAAAATGCGTACACAACTGATTAATGCAATCAGTGAGGTACGTGTAATTTTTATTTTTCATTTAGCGGTTACATATATATTCTTAATGATGTTAAGGAATATTGTTTTCGTATTAGAACCAACAACTTATAATAGTAGGTGATACGGGGTCAGGAAAAACCACACAAATGACACAATATCTTGTCGAAGAAGGATTTGCGTCTCGTGGTAAGATCGGATGTACCCAACCTCGTCGTGTTGCTGCAATGTCTGTTGCGAAACGTGTTGCTGAAGAAGTCGGTTGTCGATTGGGAGAGGAAGTCGGTTACACCATCCGTTTCGAGGACTGCACGAGTCCCAATACGCAAATTAAATATATGACTGATGGTACATTACTCAGAGAATGCTTACTGGACCCTAATTTAAGTCAATATTCTGTTATTATTTTGGATGAGGCACATGAAAGGACTATAAACACTGATGTGTTATTTGGTTTGCTTAAAAGTAAGTTTTAATGTGCTTTATTTTATATTAAGAAGTATTGTTACACGGGTTTTTATATATTTTTTATATTAGTTTACAATAGAAATTTTTAAGCTGTCTAAAATTTTTGTCGAATTATTTTTTGGATGCTTAACTTTCATATAAACGTTGGAGATCAAGTGAGGTCAAGTGTTTCACCAACTTTTATTAATGCATAGTACGATATTATCAATATGAGTTTTTAAAGTTTTCTTTTTGAATAAACGCTCCAAATTTCACGTGAGCAAGGTAAGATGATTAAAAAATTAATTACGAAATACTATAAAAGTATTGGATTTACGAGTATTAGAAATAACGTGTTAATCTTTAATTTTTGGCCAATCAGAATTTGTGTAGAACAACCAATAAAAACAAACTTCCATTATGCCACTCCAAATTGATTCTCATAAGAGTGGGGGGATGGCGTGAAAAATACAATAACTAAAAAAAACACAGCAATTCTATTGGCTGTAAAAATATAAAAAATATGATTGGTTAATACGGTGTGTATTTTTTTATAAATTTTGAAAAAATAGATGGGGGACTATGTTATTAAACAAAGAATCAAATTGGTCTGGCCTTAGATATATTTTTGTATATATAGAGTTAACATTGTATAAACGCAGTATACGTACTGTATGCATCAGACCAGGACCAGGGACGATAGTAGTCAATTCCGTCCGTGACAAGCATAATAATTAATAAATACTGCTCCATTTATTAAAAATATATATGTCGCAGCTGATGCTGAAAAGAACGGCAACCAAAATTTAGCAGATTGACCAAAATTTAGGGTCGGAATAGGCCGGGGCTAGGCCAGCATTAAGAAATAATACGAGCCAATCGTAAAATTTTGATGATTTTGGGTTGAAATGTCCTATTCCGACCTTAAATTTTGGTCGATCTGCTGAATTTTGATTGCTTCACTAATCTATCCTGCTGAAAACGGCTGATGCTGAAATTTGGAGTCTCGATTTGAAAATATAAACCCTGCTAAATTTCACATATACTCTTTAATTATCAATTCTAGCCCTAAATCCTAACTCTAAAAAAAAGGTGGACAAAAACACCCCAAAAGAATTTAATCAAAATAGGTCCGAATTTCAGCTTATATTATTATTCTGCAGTTTTTTATTCATAGAAAATATAATCAAATTTGAATTTTATAAAGAATCTTCTAATAGATTTTATCGATTACTAATTATAAGAAACAGGCAACCAGCTTTTGCAATTTTTTTGTAAAATTATTGTCGCGGATGATGCTGAAAATCACATGATATAAACACCTATCGCCGTTGGTGTTAGAGTTAAAGTTAGGGTATGGAAGGTTTTTTTTTTTTGATTTTACATATACTGTATGTTCCCGAATAAAAGCTACCCTCGAATAAAAGCTACCTCATGATTTTGGACTCAAGAATTTGAAAAAGGTTATTATGTTTTAATAGTAAAATTAGACCCGAATAGAAGCACCCCTCGCTTTAGCCCGAAAAAATTCTCATTTTTTTTCAACATTTTGGTAGCTTTTATTCGGTATTATAAAATATGGTCATACCCAAACTCTAACCCTAACATTAACAGTGAAATTTTTTAGTTGGTGATGCTAGGGTTCTTTAAGCACTTTAGATTTGTTTATACGGAAGATGAAGAACATTACGTGATCACGTGATTTTTTCAGCATCATCCGAGACAATTATTATTTAACGTTAGTTTTTTTCATGCTGAGTTAACGATAAGTCTTCACCTATTGATTTGATTGGCCAATTATCACGTTTTATTGACATAAATAATATTATACTATGAAGGAAGACTTTCGTATGATTGGCTGTTTAAGTCCATTTAATTTACATTATTTATATAGTTTAAAAAAATCAAACTACGAAGAATAAACAAAAAAGAAGTATATAAAAAGTTTTATTAGGGTTGTAGGACTCCATCATTAAAAATAATCAAAATCATTTTT